TTAATTCTTCCAGTGGCTGGATTGGCTACGTTAATCTAATGGTTAATTTATTTTTTCTTAATTCTTTCTATTATAAAAAAACATAACATACCTTCATGGACTTGAGAACAACTGGTAGGTCATTTTTCGAGTTCAAACAGGGTTGGGCTATTTTTATTCTTTTTTTTTGTTTTTTCTTTCTTCAATAGTTTTAAATAGTTTTTTCCTTTTCTTTTATTATTTCATAAATTAGTTGAAACTGACACTCTTTTTATATTAGTTTCTCTTCAACAAAAACAGTATAAATTGGGGTTTATAATTCTTGAAAAATAAAAATAACTAGAATTAAGTTGAATTAATAACAGTTGAATATCTTCTGGCATTTCTTCATCTGACTTAAAAACTTCTAATGCAAATTTTTTGAATGGAATCTTTTTATTAATATTTGCTTTAAGTGCATTCACCCTATTAAACAATAAGCAATTTCTTTTCACTAATTCTTGAAGTCTGTCTTTAATATTAATATCATCAATAAAACAATAACGCCATTTAAAATAAAAAATGTTATCTTTATTCATTCTAATAACAAAACTCTCTTCTTCTTTAGGGAAAATGGAGAGTAAATTAACAACATCATAAACTCTTCTATTGTCTACTTTCATTAATTTAGAAATTTCTTTCACTCTCATAAATCTTTTATTTCTAATGAGGCAGAAAACTACTTTCTTTACAATACTATCCATTTATATTGTCCAACCAAAGTATTAGTTTAAGTAGAGTTGAAGTAACAAGATATTATCATTTCAATTTGAGAAGATTGAGATTTATATTAATAGTTTATAAAAACTATTTTTCTAATAAAAAAAGGGTAAATGGAACTATGAAAAGAATCCAAAAATAAAATAGTCTTAATCATGTCAGCCTGCAAATCTGATGTTATGAGAAAGATTAAGATCGATAAACTTGTCCTTAATATTTCAGTTGGTGAGTCTGGAGATAGACTTACTCGTGCTGCTAAAGTTCTTGAAACTTTAACTGGACAAACACCAGTTCTTTCAGAAGCTAGATATACTGTTCGTGCTTTCTCTATTAGAAGAAACGATCAAATTGCATGCCATGTCACAGTTAGAGGAGCTAAAGCTGCAGAAATTCTTGAAAAGGGATTGAAAGTTAAGGAATTTGAACTTAAAGCTAACAACTTCTCAGCTACTGGTAATTTTGGATTTGGTATTGAAGAACATATTGACCTTGGATTAAAATATGATCCACAAGTTGGAATTTATGGTATGGATTTCTTTGTTGTTCTTGCTAGACCAGGATTTAGAGTTTCACGAAGAAAAAGAATGCAAGACAAGATTGGAAGAGACCATCTTTTAACTAAAGAAGATGCTATTAACTGGTTCAAAGAAACTTATGAAGGAATCGTTCTTAACAAATGAATTGAGCATTGTTGGTGAACTTTTTTGAATTTATAGTAATAAAATGAAAATTTATATTATTTCTATATTTTATAGAATTTAATTTGGAGTTTTATAGAATAAAACTGCAAAAAGAATAAAAGAAAAATAGCTTTTATAAAAATACATAAAATAATAAATCGGTTAATTGAAAAGTACAATGAATTTTGACAGTCGTTGATTTTTATAACATTAACTAATAAGAGATAATTATAACATTTAATTGATAAAAATAACATAAATTTAATAGCAAATGATAATTAATGTTTTTTAATTCTAAAAAGATTAAATTTAAAATATTAAAGTTTCCAAAATGTTTTTATATATTTAATTCACTTTGTTTTCTTTGTACTTACTTTGTTTATCATATCATTAACTTTTTTTCACAACTTAAAAATAAAAGTAATTCATCATGAATTATAACAGTTTGTTACACTAGTTGGATTTTTACATGAAAATGATGTTTATTGTATAATTTTTGAAAGATATTCCTTAAAAAGGAACTCAAAAATCATTTAAATAATTCATGAACAATTTAGATGTCTATTTTATAACTGATGACGATGATGAAAGTTTAGAAACAAATCCAGAAGAAGAGAGTAATAAAGAAGAAATAAAGAAAGAAGAAACGAATAATAAAGAAGAAACAAAGAAAGAAGAAACAAATGAAGGTTGTAAAGATCAAGGAGATGGTGATAGTTGTGTTACAGAGAGAAGTCAATCACCAATTATTAGTTGCATGAAAGATGAACCAAATGATGTTAGTGATATTGAAGAGGATGTTACTTCTGATGATGAAGGTAACGTTTATTGGCAAATCATTAGTGATGAAGTTTTAGAAGAAAGTTGGAAGAGTGCAATGGAAGAAATTAGTCCATCAGTACTTAGTTATATAACAGGAAGTTATAAAAAGCCATCACCAATTAAAAAAGAATTTTCAAATTCTATTGACGAAAAGAAATATTTGTCATTTATGAAGTTTCAAGATTATTGTAAATACTTAGACCAGTCTCCTGCAGATCCTAATGAATTTACTGAAGAAAAAATGAGAGTGTCAATGTGTATTACTGAAAATGAAAAATATATTAAAAGAAAAAAAGAAGAAAGGAAACAGGAATTATTAAGTCAATATACTCAATGGATTAATGAAAATCAAAAAGATGTTGTGGGATTAACTGGATGGAAAATTTTTGAAAGTAGAAAATATAAGTCTGAGCCTAAATATTCAGAATATAAAAGGTATTTAAATTATACTTTTCTTAATGATAAACGAAGTTCTGAATTCAAAAAAATTACATGCATTGGTGGAATGGACAAAACTATCTCTTCACCTAATGTAAATCTAAATACTGTAAGTTTCAACAACCAACATGTTATTACATCTATTCCTAAAACAAATACTGTAATTACCACTAATAATTCTGTTATTCACAAAGAACCAAATCCAAGTACTTTTACTTATTCTGTTCCACCACCAATACCTAAAACAAATCCAATACTTACTACAACTATTCCATCATTCCAGCCACAACCAACCACCACCTCTTTTCAAAATAAGATTACTTCAGTCCCTAAACCAGAGACAGTTTATTCTACAACTACATTACAGCCTCAAGTAGCACCCCCACCACCCCCACCAGCTTCTCATTCTAATGCCAATAATTCTAAATTCAGTAAAGAACTTCGTTCAATTAGTCAATTAACACAAGAACAAGCAAATGCTCTTGCTGAACAATTCACGTTTGTTTTATCATTAGTTAAATTCTTACAGTAAAATTTATTATTAGAAATTCAATACCAGGAGTTGATCCAATGTATTACTTCCAAATATTTAAATTGTTTTTTAAAAAATATATTAATTCATATGAACCATTGTTGAATATGCTTAAAGAAATGAATTCAGAACATCTGTTAAATGAAAAATATAGTGGGATTATTCAAGAAGTACTAAAGAAAGGGCCTTCTTTAGACCAAGTTGCTTCATTAGTTAAAAAAGAAGTTAATTTAAATAATAGGCTTAAGAAAGAAAGTTCAGGAGGTAAAAGTTTTATTGATGACCTTAAAAGTATGGGTATTAAAAGGCAAAAAGCAAGTATGGTACGTGCGCTTAATCCTCCTAGTCAAGAAATTAAAGAAAAGTATCGACAAATTGTTGATGAGTTATTGTTTGTTGTTTTTTTTTATTTTACTCATTTACACTTTGAACGTTTCAAAAATTCATATTCTAGGAAAATACCAAATTTTTTGGAACGATTTTCTCTTGATGATGTTGCCGATACTTTCCGTCCACTTTTTCAGTATAACGTAGATTCACCACAACTTATAATAGACTTTTTTAAAGGATTATTAGCCAGTCATAAAAAAATAGTTCAATTAGGTAGTACTGAATTAAAACAAAAAGTTGAAAGTTGTAATGGAAATATCACAAATATAAAAGAAATTACTGATTCATTTTTGGGAAAATTTGAAGAATAATTTAATTGATAGTAATTACAATTAAATAATACATTTATTTTTTATTATGAAGAAATCAATTATTTATTTTTAACATTGCTTCTTTAATTAATGAAACTTCATTTGTTGCTGTAATAGCACCTTCAGAACAACAACTTTCAAGACGTAAATTGATTTGTTTTATATAATTTTCAATTTTTGAACTTTTTATTTTAACTATTTCATTAATTGTGTTAGAGAAAACCATTAAATCAACATGATATTGTTGGAATTCTTTGAGAGTCAATCCATCTGGAGGTGGGGCAGTATACAATGGAATATCGTTTCTTAGTTGTTTCATTGTTTTGACAACAATTGCTTCAATGATTGAAGTTCTTTCTAATTCAATAAGATCATCTTTAGATTCATCACTATCAAAATAAAATGTCTTACTAGAGTCTCTCTTAGGAGTGTTATCATCAAATGGATTAGTATTATCAGGAAAATACACCTTTAATATATTAGATGCACCTATCATTAGAGATGATACTTTCAATGACCCTGAACGAACTAATAATGAAGGTGATAATGGAGGATGATTCATTGCAAATAGTTCAATAAATGATGAATGCATTTGTTCAGAAATAAGGTCAGTGAATTTTTTAATTAATTTTTCTGGGAATTGGTTATACTGGTCAGTATATTGTTGTGCTAATGAATCAATTCTTAATGCAATTGCAATAATTTCTGGTATTTTTGCAGAAAGTATCCATCCTGCAATAGCAACACATACAAATGGTTTATTTTCACAAACAGACTCTGCTTTTTGAAGGAATATAGTAAGAATATCACTTCCATATTCTTTCAATGAATTTATAATCGTTGTTTCATAAACACCACCAATTTGTTTAATTGCATCAATTCTATCTTTTAATTCTTTTTGAATATCATCAATTTGATTTTGTTTTTTCTCTGCCAATCCATTAAATCCAACAAATCCTCTTGAAACACAAAGATCAATATCAACACTAATTGTATCAAATACACTTCCTGCTTTTAATCCAACCTTTTTACAAAGTTCTTTAATTCCAAATCGAGCAGCATTTTCAATAGTATTTTCAATATACTTATTATAATCTCCATATTGATTTAAATTTTTAATCTTACCAGTAGCATCACTTATTCCTCTTAATGCCTCAACCACTTTTAATTCTGGTTTGTCTAATGATGATGCTTGTGAAACAATATCATTAGCTTTTGAATAAAAATTACTGATAGAAATTCCAACAAAATTATCAAACGATTTACTATCAAGACTAAATGGTTCTTTAAATGCCGTATTATATGCTTCACAACATGATTGAACTGCATTAACAAAAGCAGTTGCTGCAGTTGAAATAAAAGATGAAAAGCTAGCAACGTTACTTTCTTTTTTTGTAAAAGAATTATCAACAACTACTTCACAATATTTTTGCATTTTAGCAATACAATTAATTTCCATAACTGCTTCATTGGTATGAAGTCGAGCTAATGCTCCATAACATTGTCCAAGTTTTTGAGGAGTGTCATATTCTTTAGAAATAGCATTGTTTAATGCTTTTTCTGCTCTTGCTACAGCACCTTCAACTTCTGCTAAAATTGATGCAAATGCTTTGATATGAGCATTCTTTTTTAGTCCATCGATTTTAGATGTATAAGCATTAGCAAATTCAATCCATTTAGATTCTGATGCAGTTTGACGTAAAATATCAGGAAGGTCTAAAAATTCTTGTTGTTGTTCAATTTGTTGTTGTTTTTCATGTAAACTAATAAGTTCTTCTCTAAGTGGAGACAAGTTTGCATGAATATTTTTATAACGAGAAGTTAGTTCAGATAAAGACTTTGATATAGAAGTTAAGTCATTATCAAAAGACTCAGCACTATGTCTAATTTTCGTGATTGTTTCAGTGACTTGAATAAATTTAGAATAATTAGAATAAACAAGGTCTTTTAATTTCTTGTCATTCTCTTGAATTCTATTACAAATCATTTCATCATAACTAAGTACTTTCCCAAGATCATTTGCCATGAACTTAGCACACCTGTCATTATCTTTCATTATTGTTGTTTTTAAATTTTCAAGTTCATTTTGTTTTTGTTTTTATTTTCGTTATATATCCAAAAAAACAAAGAATATCAAAAAATTGAAGGAATGAAAAAACAAAAATAAACAAGGATAAAAAATAGTAAAAAAGTTAAAAGAAATAGTAAAAAAGAAGAACCCTATTAGAAACTTAAAAATTGATCTTAACACGACAATCGGTTAAAATGGCTAGAGGAATTGCCGTTGGACTTAAAAGAGGATACCCAGTTCATACTATGAAAACCGCTAAAAGACATTATGGTGTCACAAAAAGAAAGCATGTTGTTAATGACGTTATTAGAGAAGCATGTGGATTTTCAGCATATGAAAGACACATGATGGATCTTCTTAGAAGAGGACTTGATAAGAAAGCACTTAAATATGCTAAAAAACATCTTGGAACACACAAAAGAGGACTTGCCAAGAGAGATGAAATCCAACGTGCTCTTGAAGCTATTAAAGCTGCCCACGCTCATCTTGGACATCACGAACAACACTAAGTAATATGTGTGTTAAATGATTAGGTTATAATCGAAATATTTATATTTTTTTTATTGTTAATTATAACATAAATTTGAATGAAGAAAGACAAAATAAATATAAAAAGTATATAACTTGTTTTTTTTTTTTAATTAAAAAATACTAAAAAAGATAATTAAATCTTATTAATATGAGTGATGTTCATATTAATATTCCTATCAATCAATTAACAGCAAATAACACATTAAAAAAATCAATTTCTAAATTAATTATTTGTAATTCATTGGACTTTACATCTAAAGATTTTCATCTAGTTTTAGAGTATTGTAAGTCTGATACAAGATATGTTCATACTACATTTGAGTATATGATGAACGAATTAGATAAAGCAAAGTGTATATCTTATTTTGAGTTATTTGTATTTCTTTTTGATAAAAGTAAAACAATGAAACAATTAATGTATCCTAGAATTCATAAAATATTTAGTAAAGCTTTTAGTATTTCTTCTGTAAAAGAAAGAGCCATTGAATTATTAAAACAGTTAGATAAAAAATATGGAGAGTCATACCCTTCTATTAGAATAGAACTTAACACACCAACATTTTGTCAAACTGAAAAAGATATTGAACAACATAATGTATTTGTAGAAAAAACAAATGAATCTGAATATCAAATTATTCTTAAACGAATTGATAATTGGAAAATTCAATGTAATGAACTTAAAAAACAATGGTATTATACTATGGAACAAATTCTTCCTCAATATTATAATAAAAAACAAGAATATCATGGAGAGCCTCTTAATTGTAGTTGGGGAGTTACTATTGAACTTTGTCAAACTCCTTATGAAGTTTGGTGTAAATATGGAGGAGCAACTAACCAACGAATAATTATTGATATGAAAACGCTTAAAGAGAAAATAATTTCACTTAGAGGGAGTATATGGAATGGATATATTAGTTTTGTTTTAGTCCAAAGTAAATTAAAAGAAAAAAGTACTGATGAACAAGAATTATATAAAGAAAAATATAAAGAAGTTGTTAATATGATCGATTGTTTAGATGAAATTCTTTATAAAGCAAGAGAGTTAAAAATATAATTTATATTTTTTGTGTTTAACCCAATGATGTAGTGAAGAGTTTCTGATGAATAATAAAATAGCAAAAAAATGTGGATCTTTCGCATTCATCACAAAAGCTATTATATTTCAATGAATGAAACACTTGATCTCTGAGGGAAATGATAATAATAATATTTTTTTAATAAGAAACCAATATTAATATTAATTATTCATTATCATATCATTAATTATAATCAAAAAATATATTACTTATATATCTTTTTAAATATTATTTGTTATTAATATAGTTATAATACTTTTTCTGTTTCCTATTTGTTTCTAAAGATGATTTGTTTATGCATATTAGTATTTACAACTTATTTTTGAATACATATTTTTAACTTGAGCTTAATAATGAGATAATACTTCCTTCTCTCTTATTGTAATAACTAAAAAATTTTTGTGAATTATTCATAGTATTAGACTAATAATCTTGAAGTTTTTTTTTGAAGTAATTCATCTATTGAATATATTTATATTAATATTATTGATATGTAATGTTTTTCAAGCACTTTAAAAAAAGTTTAGTTAGTAATTATTTAACTATTCATGCAATTTTCATATAAATTACAAAAAGTTGTTGTTTTATAAAATATTTTATATTCACTAAAATTCGGTAAAAAAAATTATTAATACTTTAATTCCTTTACATTAAAAAAAAAACAAATTTGTTGAGTTAGAATAATCTATTTTAATTAAACTTTAATAAAAAAGAATTTTGTTTAATTTTGAAAGACAAAAATAAATCTATAGAGTGAAATAGTCACACCCTTCTTTTCGTTAGACAGGTTTATTTTTAATACTTTAACTTTTTTACTTTTTTGATAGTTTAACTAAGTAGTCTAATACATAGTCTTGCATTGATTTTTGAGAATGATTTGATAAGATAATATTTATGACAGTGGTTATATCAAAAGTAATAATAAATAATGTTTTATCAACATTATTCATATATGGAAGAGTAAAATAAAGAATTATAAGGAATGGAAATTCATTAATAAAATCCATAGGGACAAATAGCCTAAATGGTTTAACAGGAATACCAAGACAATAACTTATAATTGGACCATACACATCTGAGCCATAACTTTTAAATAATGCATAAATTGAACAAATAAGAAAATGATTTCCAGAGAAATATTTATCTGAGAAACTTAAAAAAGTGAAACACCCTGCCCTCATAGCCTTAACAGCCAAACAAAAGTCATCTATTAAAATATATTTCTGTAATAAAGTAAAAACAAAGTTTGATTCGAGAATAACAGCTACTGATGTATGAACAACCATAATATACAAGCTAGTATTAACTTGATAATCAAAAATAATTCCACTAAAGAACGTGTTACAATAAGCAAACAATACTGAAAGGAAAATCCTATGAGAAAAATTTTCATATTTTTGTAATGCTTTATGAATATGAAATTGAGTTGCAATTGAATGAATAATTTGACAAATTGGATGTTGTAAATAAATACATATTTGTGGAATTTGGTTCATTTGAGAATTAAGTGAATTAAAACTATTAGATTATTTCATTTAAACATTTAGAAATTTGCTTCACTATTTATGTTCTATAAATAGATTCTCTTTTAGAAGAATATTTAATATTCCATTTTGTTCCTTTGTTATAGATGTAGATGTACAGAATATCATATCATTTGAATAATAAACTAAAAGAAGAATAAAAAATATAAAATTAAATAAAAAAAAAGGAGTTGTGCTGAACTTTGACAATTATTATCAACAAAATTTATAGACTCTTTCTCAATTATTAAAAAAAAAGAAACAATAAATAACACAAAAAAATATATTATTAATGGAGAATTAAAGTTAGTCTATCTACTCATCAAATTAATAAAAAAACTACTTTTGTTTATGACTAACAATGAGTAATAACACTAAATTGAATGGTTTGTTACTAATATATTGGTTTTCTATAAAAGAACTAACAAAATTTTAATAAAAAATCAAATAATAGTCTTAACAATCAAATTAGAATTGAAAAACTGGCACTTATTCTACTTTTAAAATTTTGCAATGAGAATCATTCATTTCACCTTCAATAATAGGTGGGTTATGGTTGAAATTCATTCCACGAATTTTAAAACGTGCTAATACATCAATTTGTAATTTAGGTGATAGTCGTTCACGAACAAGATCAGTACTTACTTTTACATTAAAAATGCCATATACCAATAATGCTATATGGTCGAAACTTTTTTGACATACAGTAGCAACTAAACAAATAAATTAAATATCAAACACAATATAAAAAATATATATATAAAACAAACTCAAGTACGTATTGATTACTGGTCTAAAGACAATACAATTTAATTTTAAACGAATAGTAAGAATACCAGAATCAAAAGAAGTTTTAGTTTTTTCAGGAACTTTGAAGTTTTTATATGACATAATTATTCCTTGGAAAGTACCATTAACATAAGAAGTTAAAAGATAACTATCAATAATCTCTTGAATTGACCCTTTAATATTTTTTAAATGATGTGGATATAATGAAATTGAAAATGGTAATTCACAATCAATAAATGGTGTTTTTTCATTTTCTGGAGATGCACGAAGACCATTTAATAAAATATCATATTTTGAAAGAATAGAGATATTGGTTGTGGGTCTAGTTCTTAATTCTTCAATGAAATTAGAGATTGCTTCAGTTGTTTCTTCTAATGAAATTTGTTTAACCTTCATGTTTAAGTAGGTTTTAGTTATTTAAAGATGTATTCTAAAAATAAAAAAGGGCTTTTTTTTTTGTTTTTTCATAAAAATGAAATAAAAAATTAATGAAAATAATTCAATTTATTGATGGAAGAGAAAAAGAAAATAGAATCTAAGCCTAATAATTGTCTTAGTAGAAAAGAAAGAAGAGAAGCTTTTAAAAAGAAAATTAAAGGTAGAAAAGAAATGAAAAAGAATAGAATAAATCAATGTAAAGAACTTGTTGAACAAAAGATTGAGATTATTGATGGAATGAGATGGGTTGTTCCATATCTTTATTGGTTTGAAGTTATGGTTAAAGAGAGGTGGATTGGAAAAGAAATTAAAGAAATAATGAAAGAAGAATTTCATTATTCAGACGATGACATTACTAGAGCATTTGAAAAAGGGTTATTAAAAATTAAAAGAAATAATAATGAAATAAATGAGAATTGTATTGTTATACAAGGAGATATTTTATTAAATCAAATACATCGTCATGAATTACCTGTTCCATATTTGTTACCAATTATTTATGAAGATAATGATGTTATTGTTGTCAATAAACCAAGTGGAATACCTACACATTCAGGAGGAAGATATACAGAAAATACAGTTATAAGAATATTAGAAAAAGAACGAAACATAAAATTGTTTGGAGTTCATCGATTAGACCGTTTGACAAGTGGAGTATTACTAATAGCTAAAAGTTCTGAAATAGCAAATGAAATACAACGTCATTTTATAAATGCATATAAAAAATATATTTGTAGGGTAATTGGTTATATGGATAGTTGTATTGTTAATAAGCCTATTATTGAAACATCGTGTATTACTAAACAACGAGTTACTGTTGGTTGTGAAGGAAAAGCTTCAACTACTATTTTTGAACAAATTCAATATGATGAAAAAACTGATACAACTCTTCTTTGGGCTATTCCAAAAACAGGAAGGATGCATCAAATAAGAGTTCATTTAAGTTATGAAAATCATCCAATAGCGAATGATTCAATGTATAGAAATAAAAACGAATATTGTACTCATTTTTCTATTCCAGAAAACTGGAAACAACCAGAATGTAAAGAATGTACTTCAGGAATTGAAATACCTCAAGAAAATTTATGGTTGTCTTGTGTTGAGCTTTCAGTTGAATATCATGGCACAACGAAAACATTTATCTCCGAGATTCCAAAATGGGGAACAAAAAACTATGATTGTAGTAAAGATCTCCAAGAATGGAGAACAGTTCATAACCAAATACTTTCAGAAGTTAATTAGAGTTATAATAAGTTGTTGGTAAATGATATAAAAGAAATTTAAAAAAAAAGTTTGGTATGTCCAACTCCAAAACAAAACAAAATAATTTGCAGAAAACTAGCATATTTGAAACAATAATTGAAATACACTATTGAAGGAAACTTTGTTTAGTTCCTGATTTTAGTAAAAAGTCAAAGAAAATTCATAATAAAGAAATGAATCTTAGTTCATCTTGATTCTTATTTATGCAACTGTACCAAGACTTACATCACTGTTTTATTTTTGATAAAAAAGAAACGAATCAAATATTTATCCCTTGTGCTTCTCATCCTTTACAATTAGATGATTCATCATGTTCTAGTTCTTGTTCTTCTATTATACTTTCACCTATTGAAAGAAATTTTGTTCCTCCTCCTAGAAATTCAAATCCAATTTTAAATGATCCACTCTTTTGTCAGTTACATACTAACATTTCACCTTCAAATATGATTTGTTATTCAACAAGTATTTCTTCTGACTCTTCATTTGATGACTGTTTTATTTTTGAATAATAGAGAAGATTGTATATTTCACTAATTTTAATATGAATAGGATATTCATTATTTATGATGTTTCTCACTTAAATTCCATCTGGTTGTTGATCTTTTTGTTTTATATTTTAAATTTTTGTTATTTGAAACAAGTTATTGAAATATAGGAACAATCTTGAAAAAAATTTGTAGATTTGATTACAAAAAATACTTCGAGAAAAACGTAAAAAAATGAAATGAAAGGGAAAAAAATAGAAAATAAGAGATAAGATATTAATAAGAATCTAAAAGCATCTCAAAAATTTTAAGGAGAAGTTAGATTGTATGACGCAGAAGTTGTTGCCTTCAGACTTAGAAGAAATCTTTGGGATTGACATCAACATAAAAGAAGTTAAGAAAAAAGAAGAAAATGAAACAAAAAAACCGAAGAAAATGAATGAGCAAAACCAAAAAATTTTACAAAAATTTGACGTTTGTTTAAAGGAGTTGATGTAAATAATAATTTTATGATAAATAAAAAAGGATAGATTTATTTATTTATTAGAGTTATGACACAGAACATAATGGAGAATTAGATGTATATCAATTAAAGAAGTATATTGAAAAAGAATTTAATATTTGTTTAACTGAAGAAACAATTAAATATCATTGTGGTCAAACATTCTTACAAAAAGCTTATAAAGTTCAACGAAGTGAATTTATTGCATTTCATAAATACATTACATCTAATTTAAATGAAATAATGGTTTGTTTCAATTATTAAATATGTAATAATAAAAGAAAATAAAAGTATTTATTACTTTTAGAAAGAAAAAACAGGAAATATTTTTAATTCATTTGAAAATCAATTTGCTGATAAAACTGGCGTTGATATTCAATACAAGTATCTTGATAGAAATATTTTTACTATTTCTTCATTTGATAAACCACATGCACTTATTTCTCCACAACAACAACGTCCAAATGATAAATACCATCAAATTATTTACAACCAATTATTTAATCAGTCAATATCAATTTTTCAAACACCAAAAAAATATGTTAGTGTATTTGAAGGTAAAGAACCAACAAAAGTCTCATTATCATCTAATAATGAAGAGTTTAATGTTGACTCACTCATTCAAACAGAAACACGTAAACCTGGTTCAAGAAAGAAAAAGAATAAATTTTTATTCCAAAATTTTAATGCTAAAATTACTTCAGATGAATTATTATATTCAACAACATTATGTAACGCTCAACCTCGTCCTATTCAAGAATTATTAAAAGTAAGAAAACCTACTATTGTTAATATTACCAAATTTCAAATAAATATGACTACCGATAATTTATATTGTAGAATGAGTTTATATGATAAAAATTATATTAAATTAACATCAGACTTCTATTTTACATTAACATCAGATGTTTTAAAAGATCATATAAAAGAAAATAAACCACTTAATGTTCCATTAGTATCAATTCCTTTAAAAGAAGAATTTATTGGAGAAGAAGAAAATTATGTTGTGTTACAAGTTTATAAACAAATGGATCCAAATATTGATTTTGCACGAGAAATTTTTAGTGACGAAGGTCAAAAAGAATTAAAAACTAAAAAGAAATATATTGATGGAATTAAAGAATCAACTCGTATCTTTGAACAAAAAGGAATGTTACAATTATTAATGTTTAGTGCTGCGTTAATTAAATTTAAACCAAAATATGATCCATTTAAATTAGTTAAACCAGTAGGAGATCCTAAAGATGTTGTTTCAATGATTAAAGATGTTGATAGAATGAAAACTTGTGGGTATTGGGAATTTTTATTTAAACCATCAAAAAAAGAAGATGTTCATTATGATGGATTTATGGTAACTAATACTCAAGATGGGACAAATGGGTCTCAATTTTGTACTATGACTGATTTATCTATTCAAGAGAAAGAGGATATTTTTATGGACTATGAAAATTTATTATTTGTTTATCCAACTGAAATTTGTCTTGGTAAAGAGAAAAAAAGAAATGGAGTTTGTGTTACTGTTTATCTAAGAGATAATGATAATGACAAATTTACTCCAGGTGTATCTAAACCAATGGCGGCTATTTATCCAATGGCTAATACTCCTATACAATCACTTACAAGGTCATTTACTACTGCTGTATCAGTAGACAAGATTGGTCATTTTATTGATGAAATTAAGATCCAATTGCCTTTCCCTTTAACTGATAAACACCATTTATTATTTCATATCAAAGACATAAATTGTGAAGATGGAACAGAGGGAAGACATTTCTATGCTAAACTTCCATTATTAGATAATGGACAAATTATTGAAAATAAAGAACACACTGTCCAAATTATGAAAGAAATGACAAAAAAATATTTAAGTGTAATTGATAATTACGATGTAACAAAAGTTTATTTAAAGGTCAATATTCGATTAGTCTCTACTATTTATCCTGAACATTCTTCAATTTCAAAATATTTATCAGGAACAGAAAGCATTAATAATATCATTACTGTTGATAGTAAATTGGATATCCTTCATTTCTTTCCTTCTATTCTTCAAAAATGTCTAGAAGATGCTACTTCAGGAAAACAAGAAAGTCTTATTAAGTTATTTGAAATAGCCAATTTGATTGAAAATAATAAAGAGATGTCTCAAGATCAAAAAGAAAAGTATCGAATATATAAGAGTCCAATAATACTCGATAGTATCAATCATTTTGTTTCATATAAAAGTGATGATGGGAGATATTATTGTCAAGTTATTACTTCATTACTACCAGTATTATTTGCTAAAAATGAGAATATTTGTAAAGAACGATTAAAATATAGTTGGGTTATTTATTCATTATTAATCAAGTCAATTATTGGATATTTAAAGGATTATAAAGCATTTGATGCTCCTAACTTTCATGATTTTTGTTTTAGTGAGCAAGGAAAATATGTTGGATTTAATTTATCTACAAATGTTTCTTTATGTTCTGAATTTATTTGTTATTGTTCAGACTTAGATATTGTAGAACTCAGTGTAATTAGAGACGCTAATTTGTTCTTTGCTGAATTCATTAGAGACTTAGCTATAATGTGGAGACATGATGAAATGGCAAAACTTGTTGATACTCATCTTGATCGTCTTTCAATGCTTAAAATACATGACCCAGAACAAGCAAATTTCCAACAATTACTTCGTCTTGAATTTATTTCAGTCTTAGCTGAAAGTGATAGGTTATATCAAATTAATGGACCACAATTACTTGAAATTAAAGAAATTAATAAATTAAATGATCAACTACAACAACGACACACTTTAATGTTTATTATATTAAGACAGTACTTCCAATTAATATTAACTCATGATAAAACAATTAGTAAAATGGCATTACAAGAATTAATTAATATTATGAATAAATATGATCTTGATAAACAATTTTCAACTCAAACAGAACGTGATAAATTCTTTAATATGATATTTCCATTTGTATTATTTATTCTTGATGATTCAGAAAAAATTAATGAATGGAAAGCAAAAGATTGTTTAGCAGATTTATATGATATTGAATCACTTTATGTTATTTTCTTCTTTATTCTTAAAAATTTAAAAGAAGAAACCGTTCAACAGTGGTTAGTTTCTGATTTCCTTCCAAGTCTTCTTAATTCATTATTAACTCATATCAGAAAAGCATTATTATTATTTAGTAGATATCCAAACACATTTATTCCAAATACATCAAAAACTTATATTAAGGAATTAATAACTATACTTAATGATATATCAAAAAGTGCCCCAAGTTCTAAAACCCCTTCACCTGGGCTAAACAGAAACCAATCATCAACTAAATTACATCCAGGATTAGGACTTGGTGTTTCTGGAAGAAGATCATTATTATTAAAGAAACCTGTAGAAACAACATCTGAAGAAATTCCACAATCACCTAGAAAAGGAGAAAGGTCAAGTCCATCCTTAGATGGAACAAAAAAGATAACTGGGTTTATGGAAAGATCAGGAAATGCACAATTTTTAGCAGGAAGAAATAGGTCAAATTTGATGACATCATCAGAAAATAATACTAATACTGGTAGAGGTACTGAAGATGATTTAATTATTGACATTGCATTGATTTCAATGGATTTTGTTGAAACTACTATTGGAGTATTGGTAAATGAAGAAAATACTCAAGCACTTGAAAGAGCACAAGAAATTATTTCATCAGTACTTTTTGAAGTTAAACCAAATGATAGTTATCTTATTAGTTTATACGAGTTTATAAGAACTATGATTATTACATATAAAGAATTCATTTTTAAAAGACCAAACAACTTAGCTTTGAACTTACTGAAAAATTTATTGCGACTTTCTAATTCAGCTACTAAAAACCAAAAAAATTTTGCTAATAACTTAATTTTCATCTTTGCTAAAACAAATTTCATTGTTACAGGAAATACAGTTTCTACAATAGTTAATGCTACAAGTGCTTTGTCAGAGCTTCAATTTAATGATGTTCATAGTATTGAAGAGTCAATTAAAGGTTTAGTTAATTTGGCAGAAAAGTATCATGATAACTTTAATAATAAACTTCAAAAATGCATTGAATTATCACTTAATGAAGGAGTTAGGAGAAATAAATCATTACAACGAGTTCAACGATTATACAAAGCAATTGATGCAGGTGATCTTGATGTTTTTATTACATTTGTTTTAGAATGTATTAATGTATTAAATGGATTACTTGACTTTACAATAAATGCAGAACCAACAGTAATAAATGGATATATTGGAATGAAAAGAGAGTTAGTTAAAATGTTTAAAACAAATGAAAGTTCTAAAATGGTTAAATGTTGGATAGAATTTATTGAAAGTAAAGCTATGAATATCAGTGAAACATTTAATTCATTCCTTGAAGAAAAAATTAAAGAAATCAACATTCAATATAATAACTGTATTGAAAAAATCAATTTATTGGAAGGAAAGTGTGATACTAATGAAAAGGAAATGAAAGACTTAGAAGAAAAATGTAAGACTAATAAAAAAATTGGAGAACAATTATTAGACTGGGCAAAGAAATCACTCTCAATTGATAGTTGTGACTTAGAACCATTCGATGATGTTCAATTAATTAGAAAGATTGAAGAATTAGAAAAAGAACAAACAAAAAGAAGTAATGAAGTTAAAACTATGTTAGATGAATATACCTCATTTGATAAAACACTAACAACTTTTAAGTTATCTTCTAATCCATTATTCCCTGTTACGAGTCAAGAAATGAGTGATGGTGTTAGAAAAGTTCTTCAATTACATCAGTCACGAATTAAAGCTGTCAACAGTCATCTACAAACAAGAACATCATATGACTCAGAAAAAGAAAGATATACTAGTAAAATACGTTCATTTGAAATGGTGATAGAAAGAAAATATTTTGATATTTGCGATGATATTATGACATTACCATTTAATAAAATTTTCTTAAAAGAGTCTATAGATAAATTAAAAGGATTAAACCAAGTATATGTTAGTGATATTAATAAACTTACTCATAAGAAAGAAAAAGTTGGAGGATTAAAACCATCGTGGGAAATTGCTTATTGTAGTTGGGAAGAAAGTATTAGTTATGCTATATCAGTTGTGGAATGGTTAGCACAATTAATTGAAAATGTTAAGAATAATGAAGAAAATATATTACAAATGAAGAAATGGTATGATAATGAACGAACATTTGTTAAAACAGTGATATCAGCATATTTATGGGATGGATTATATATTTCATTAGATAAAGTTACCATGAGACAATCCAATGACTATTTGAACACTCTTACCAAAGTTTCACAATATTTATTGGACCATGTCAAGGAAGCAGAAAAACAATATGAAGAGGCAAATCGTTTAATTGAAGAATTACGAAAAAGAAAGAAATTACCAATAGGATTTAAATATCTTCAAATGGTACAAAAAGAACATTTTCAAGAAGTAGAACCTTTAACAAAGCTATTTGTTGATAAATGGAAGGAAGAAGAGAAAGTTGAAAAAATTAGAAAAGACTATGCAGCATTATTTGAAGAATTTTTTAATGAAACTGATAAAATTTGTAATACAGAACCATCAAAAGTTCCTGGTTCTGTTATTCAAAAAGTACAAAGTTTAAGAGATAAATTATTGATTTATGATGAACAGAAAATAGACAAGTTAAATCGATATTGTGACTTAAAAAGAAGTGAACAAACAGTTTGGGCTAGGTGTTCTGCTTTAGGTATTCCTGAAAAAGAGGTAAAACAAGAAAATAATGCTAATAAATCTCCAAGAAGTTCCATTTACCTATACAGTGGTAGAAGTCCTAGTCTTCAAACTCCACAAACTGGGTTCCAAAGAGGGTCAAGAAGAGGAGATGAAAATAAAGATATTATTGGATATTTTATTACAAATGAAGAAAATGTTAAACCAGATTGTTTCTATGACCTTTCTGTTGGTCAAAGAGAAGCATTTGATAAAGACTTAAAGATTGTACAAGACGATATTGTAAAAATATTAAATAATTTGAATAGCCTCAATGAATTAAAGAATCAATCACAAGATCCACAATTTGTGCTTGGTCGATATTACCAATTTGCTATGGACTATGTTTCTGCACCTCAATTACACATGACTTGGATCGCAAAATTAGCAAACGAACATAGAACAAAACAACAATTTGTTGAAGCAGGATTATGTGAAGTTCATTTAATACTTTTCATTCACCATTTATTACCAAGTGAATTAGTGTCAATCAATGTTGATTCTTTAAAAACAACTTTTGGTAAATTTGTTAGAAATACTTCTGTTCCTCCTAATCCACAATTCACTGCTCACCTTACAGAAGAAATGATTCTTCAACATATTACTGCTGCATGTCATGATTTTGAGCAAGGTCATATGCCATGGTATGGATTAACTGTAGCATCCGTTGTTATTCCATATTACATTAAAAAGAATAAATACAAAGAATTAGGAAATATTCATGACTTTGTTAATAGAATGTATGATTCATTGATAAATCATAATGGTGATGGTGTTGTACGGGATTATCTTCAATTTTATTATGTTAGATTATTTGGAAAAGTATTTGGACCAGAGTTAAATAGATGTTCCTTCGTTTATTCTTCAACAAAAGAAAAAATGTCATATTTATTAAAAGAAGTCACTGATATTCTTCCACCATCTTTCACTGGGGAAAAACATATTTTACGTTCATTAGATCAAGTCAATGATACTGTATTGAACGCACCAGATAATGAATGTTATATTCTTTGGACTCAAGTCCAACCAGTCTATGATAATGGAGACTTTATTCAATATAGCTCAACATTTAATTTTGATGAGTTATGTGTTAATAGAGAAGAAGGAGAAGAAATATTATCAACATCAAATGCTCCAGCATTGAGTTTGTTTAAAAAGAGAACAGTCTTACAAACAGATTTTGTATTACCTAGTTTATTAAAAAGACAAAGTGTTATTAGTCAAAGTGTTGTTTATTTAACTCCAATAGAAATAATTATTGAAGAAATTCAAAAGAGAAAGAAAAATATTGATTACTTCCTTTCAGAAAGTAAAAAATTCTTTGGAGAAGTTGCTTTTGATATTATAAGTTTCTTACAGAAGAGTATTGGGGATTATTTCTTTGGTTTAAATGACAGTCCAGTTGGTAAGTCAAATATCTTTAATACCATGAAAATTATTGATGTTTTAGATATTTTTTATAAAGACCTAGACCGTTTTGACATGGTGTTATACAATAAATTGTTTGATATTTTAAAAGAATCTACTAATTGTTGTTCTGAAGCTCTTGCAGTCATTAAAGAGAATTCAAAAATTAGAAAGAGTAGTGCTAATTTAGAAAAGATTGAACGTGAATTACCAAGAATTGATAGAGTTCTTGATGATATAGAAAAGAGATTAGAAGAGAAAAAGGAGGATGTCATTGCATAATAATTCATAGGCATTCTGTTTTATTCAATTGATTTTTAATTTCAAAATAATATTGTTTTATAATTTTTATTGTTTAATAATCCAAAATACAAACAGGTAATAATAAAACACTTTTATAAATTCATTATTATATGAATTGAAGAATATTTTTAGTCGTTTATTAATTTATGGATAATTATGGATGAAACGACTTTGTATTTTTGTGATTGTTTTTGTATCATTAAAATAAAAAAAAAATAAAATAAAAACTAAAAAAAACATAAAAAAATTTATATATATGAAAGCAATAATTATCGTTTTTGTGTTTGCTCTTGTTTATGCAAATAAACAAGGATTGGTTCAATTAAACAAAAGTAATCATGAACTTGTATTAAAGCAAAATAAGAATGTTATTGTCAAATTCTTTTCACCATATTGTCCACATTGTGTACGTTTTAGTCCAATTTATTCTGAATTTGCAGTAAAAATGCAAAATGAAGAAAATTTAGTTGTTGCTGAATTAAATTGTGTTGACTTTAGAGATTTATGTGGGTTCTATAAAATTAGAGGATACCCAACTGTGAATTTTTATCATAATGGTGAATTTGTTGAAAGATTTGGACAACAAAGAACTGTTGATAATTTAGTTGAATTCTCTAAGAAGAATATGAAATAATTCAATTAATGTTCGTCTTTATTTAGTTATTTTAAATCTAAATATTCATCTGCTTGATGACTTTGTGCAACTAAACGATCAAACTTTTCTTCTTCTTTTTTAATTTGTTGATTTGCACATTTTCCTTTTTGAATAATACGATCTATATTTTTGATGTCTTGTTGTGTTAATTCTATTGAGTTATTTGCATTTTGTAAGGCTTGTTGATAAATAGAATCTCTTTCATTTTGATTTAAACTTTGAGTTGATTCTTCTTGTTGAAGATAATTTTCCATTAGTGATATTTCATTGTCAATAGCTGTTTGTTGTGTTCTTTTTTGAGGAATAACAGGTAATGGTTTTTGAATTGGTTTTTGTTGTGTAAGTTGCTCTTTTTTAATGTCGTTATAAACTTGACTTAAGATCTCATCAACTTGACCACTAAAATCTTTATCATCTGATATTTTGTAAGTGTCTTGAGGAATATAGTCATTTGTCGATAATTGATATGTCGGTTGGACCACAACATATTCTTTTTGGTTATCATTATTTTTTAAAGAAGGGAAAGACGTTACTTGTTTTTCTTGAAGTTGTTGTTCTAATAAATTAACTCGGTCTTTGTACATTTTTAATGCATCAATACACTGACCCAATATACTTTCATCTTTAATAAAAGCTATTTTTTGTGAAAGTTCTTCAATACCATTTTTGTATAAGTCAATTGCCTCTTGTTTCATTCCATTGTTTTCTTGTTCAATAGCTTTTTTGAATGTTTGAATTGAATGTTCTATAATTTCCATTTCTCAGGATTAAATTTTAAGTTCACATTGTTTTTTCTAAGAACTAAAAAACAATAAAAATTCAAAGTAAAAATGCAATGAAAAGAAGGAATGAAACTATAGAAGTAATTGTAGTTTGACTTTTTGTTCTTTGATTTATATGCACTCTGTTTTGGGTATTGAAGATATAATCTTTTGAACGACACATCATTCCTAATGGAGAATTTTCACCTTTACATCCTAATTTTCCTGAAATGATATTATGTTTATCACATTGAGCAGTGAATGGTTTATCGTAATGATCAGGTATTTGGCACAAAGGGTCTTTAAATGTATATAATGTAAATTCAGTTGGATTAGTATTTGTTTTGTTAACTTTTACAAATGCCATATTTTTATTCATTGATCTAAAACAAAATTTTCTCGATGGTAATGGTGTACATTTATTTTCTTCAATATTGTAACAACCAAGTCTTCCTCTTCCAGTTGTAAAATCACAATTTGTATTTAATATTTCACGTTTAGCACAATTAATCATTGCACATACTTTTAATGGGTAGTCTATTCTACTTATAGGATTAACAGTAGATGTTGTTGGACTAATAAATTGTTTTTTTTGAGTAGCTTTAAATAATAAATTATCCTCAAAAGCCAAACATAAAAGTGGTAAGAATATAATAAAGAACATTATGATTTTAAGTTCTAAAAAATTAATTAAAAAAATTATCAAAAAATTTCTTTTATTAAAGTTTTTCAAAGACACAAACTTTCTCTGAAAAGACTCCATTTTGTCTCTTTATTGCTTCTTGTGGAGAAATAGTGCAAATAATATTCTTCTTTAACCCATTAATAATAATAGAGGATTGTTCTTTTAAACTTTCAAGAGTAACTTGGAATAATTGTTCACGAATTACTTGAGAACTTCCAAGAGTATTGTTCAAATAAGAATTACAACATGTGTTAAAGAATCCTGAAATAGTCTTTGGAGCATCAATATCAGCAAAAATACCAATAAGATAATTTTCAATTTCTTCTTGTGTAAACTTCATATTTTCTAAATAATCTACAACTTTGTCGTATGTTATAAGGGTTTCATATAAATGAGGATCACGATATGAAGTGAAAATAGCATTTCCACTATATGAATAAGACATCCAACTTCCATAAGCACCACCTTCAACTCTAACCTTATTCCATAAGTATTCTTTTTCAATAATTTCTAATAATGCTTTAAATGCTCCATTAAAAGTTACTCCCATAGAAGCAAAATTAAATCCTTTACCAACATAATTTACTTTAACTGGAACTTGAAGAGCCTCATTTTTAACCACTGGATTTGGATATTCTTGAGTTTTTCCCATTTCTTTTCCATGAAAAACTGATTGGAGAGAAGTTAATTGTTTTAAAACATCTTCTTTAGTATTTTCTTCAGAACAATAAAACAAAGTACAACGATCAGTACTGAAAATTGTATGATACATTTCTTCAAGAGAATGAAGGAATGCAAGTCCTTCTTTTTCAAAATTATTTCTTAACTTAACATCTTCTAAATAGGAAGTAATTCCATTTAAGTATTCTTCAATTACTCCTTGTTTAGAAAGATATGACTTTATTCTACTTGATAGTGGATAATAAGAAGCGTTCTTAATAACATCTTCAGAACGTACAATAAATTCAGATAATTTCTTTTGTAATATTTTAACATCAAATTGAATGTCATTCAAAATTTCAGCAAGTATTTGTATGCCATCAGTAATATAACCATTTAATACTTTACCTGAAATTAAGAAATATGGTTTAACATGATTGATATCTTCAGTTGTAGTACCTAAATGAGAATCAACATGAGTCTCTACTTCAAATGTTAATTTACCAAAGTTAATATCAATTAATGATCCAAGAGTTAGATAATTATGTTGTTTTGTATTAAATGATTTAATGACAGATGCTAAGAAATCAGCAACTCTTAATTGTTCAAGTGTTAAATCACTTAAGTCAAAGAAATACTTAAAGTATACAATTCCATTAGTTACATCAACCTTTCTATATGTTTTAATTGAATTTTTAACTTCTTCAAGAGAAAAATCTTGTCCTTTTTTATCAATGTCACTCAATCTTAAATGAGGGATAGTAGCAATTTGTTCTGGAGTATCTTCTGCTTGTTGTCTACGTTTTAACTCAGCACAAGTATTTTCTATTTCTTTAATTGCTTTTTCATCAAAATCTTTACTCATTTCAGAATGTCGTTCTTTACTTTCTTTTTCCCATGTCTCAGTTAATCCTTTTGTTGGTACACAACGTACAACAATATGTCTATCATTTTCAATCAAATATTTTTGAACTATATCTTCTAAATAATGATTTTTCAATCCTTCTCTAACTTTGGTAATTATCCAATTTACTCTAAGACTACGGAATAAATCTGTATCATCATGAGCATGAGCATAAGCACATAACATTGCATAAACTAATCCTTTTGGATAACCTCCAAATGTGCATTCTTTTAAATCAAACTCATGCTTATTTAATATTCCAATAGCTCTTTGTTTATCAAAACCATCTTTTACTATTTTTTGTAATTCTTCATTAACAACTTGTTTAAATTGATCTAATTTAGATGGATCTGCATTTTTAGCAACAACAGAGAAAAATGGAGTTTTATAATCAATTTCAAATTGCCCAATAACATTCTTTGCAATTCCAAGTTCTTTCAATTTTTCATTCAAAGGAGCTCCTTCAACTGTGACTAGTAATTGTTGAATAATGTTTAATGCAAATTGAACTTCAGGATTACAATTACTAATTTTCCAAGCATAAACAAATACATCTTTCTTTTCATCACTTTCTTCTGAATCAATTGGGTATTGAATAGTTTCAACTGTACCAGAAATATTTGTATCTTTATCACTGACATGTGATGGGGTTTTAAATCCTTTTCCATGGAAATATTCATTCAAAACAGTAAGTTCATCATCAATCAATGTTAATGGAGAGTATAAAACAGTTAATGAATTTGATGGGTGATAATGTTCTTTATAAAATTTTAAGAATTCGTCATATGTTAATGTTTCAATATCTTTAGGAATACCTCCAGATTCATATATATATGTACCATCATAAAGTTTTTGAGAAATAACTCTGTCAGCTAAAGTTACTGCATTTGTTTCGCTTTCCTTCATCTCATTATAAACAATACCATTAAATCCAAGTTCACCGTCTTCATTCTTTTCCCACCTTCTACCTTCTTGGTAAAATGGATAAATATCATTTCTAACACGTGGTAAGAATACAGCGTCAAGATATACTTTCATTAAATTCTTGTAATCAATTTCATTAGTTGTTGCAATAGGATACATTGTATGGTCAGGGAATGTAATTGCATTTAAGAAATTTTGTAAACTTCCTCTTAAAAGATCAGCAAATGGCTCTTTTGTAGTATAATGGTCACTTCCACTTAAACAACTATGTTCAATAATATGAGGAATTCCTTTATTGTTAGTAGGTGGTGTTTTAAAAGAAATAGAAAATGATTTATTTTTGTCATCAGATAATATTTTAATAACTTTGGCTTTAGTCTCGTTATGTTCAAAAACAATACCAGTAATATTATAATCAGGTAATTTTTCCCTATAAACTTCAGTGAAGAATTGCATTTGAATGAATAATAAGATATGAAGTTTTTGTTTCTTATAATTATTTATTATTATTATTTTATTATATTACTTATTGTAATATAAAAATTGGTATTTATTAATAAAGAAATTAAGAAATATATATCGAGATATTATCCAAGGAAAAGGATTTGCTAAAGTGTGGTTAAGATTAAATGAAAATTAAACATAATAATATAGTGGTAATGAAATGTTTTCTTCTCTCTTTCATAGAATAAAGTAAAAAAGAGGAAATGAAATTGTTTAAAATTAAGGCAAAAAGCAAACAAAAACTTAAACGGAAGTATTAAAACAGAAAAAGTTTGAGAAGACATTAATAGGAAGAAATAAAACAAAGAAGTGCTTTCCTCATTTTCCAAGAAAAACTTAAAGAATAGATTAAACACAAAGATTACTCTTTTTTTAAAAAAACAACTCAGGAATGGGATTATTCTCCACTGAGCAAAGAAGAATAAATGAATATTCTATTTAACACTTTATTACCAAATTTTTATTAAATTAATTTTATGAATAAAAAAAAAGAAAAGAACTTTAAGAATTTAAAATATAAAGAAAAATGAAGAAACAAAATCAGTTATCTAGACTACGTACAATTCAATTAATTGAATCAGATACTGATAATATTTCAGATAATAACACAGTTAAAGAAAAAGAAACAATAGAAAATTATGAAATAATTGATCCTTCAAAAATGCAAACTTCAAATAAACAAATATTATTACCATTGACGAACAAAACTATAACTGTTCAAAATCCATTAAAAATAATGTCTAAAACTGAAACCACACCACCTATTTCAAGAACAGGAACAATTGAATTAAAAGAAAGTATAGAATCAAATGAAGAAGATTTTGAAGACATTGAAACGTTTTATGATTGTTATATTAAATTAGATATTTGTTTAATATATGGAGTAATGGTTTTATGTAAAGTTTGTTAATTAATTATTTATTAACATTGTTATATTAATTTATTAGAAACGTGGGAATTATTATTTAAATTATATACCAATACAATTTGTTAATAAAGAAGTTGGATTATTAAATATATTAATTAACAAAACAATGACAAATAATTTTGATAGTTATAAATATTCTATTTGTTTAACAAATCTAAGTTCATTTTATCTTTATGAAAGTTATGATTCAAATGAAATTTATAATTTTAAACCAATTTCAAAGGAAGATATACCAGAAATTTATCCAAATTTTGAGTTTCATGGAAAATATGCAAAAACTACTGCAAACCATTTAATGGAAGAATTAAAAAAGATTGACTCACTTAAAATTGTTCAAGACAATAAGAATGACATTAACTTTATTATTTTTCATATTAATTTAGAACGTGTTC